GCGTGCACGGGCGAAAGCCTGGGGCCGTTCGGGCTATCAAGCTGTCTCGAATCTGTGAAATCATAACTGTGACTTATATCGACGTCCTATCTGTCTCTTTTCTCCGTTATCACCAGGCTGAGTCACGTAATTGTAAAATGGGAACTCTACGACGGAAAAGTGACGAATCGAAAGTATCGTGAGCGCGTATTATGATGTATGCACAGGCATACATGGATTAGAGCGATAGAGGAAAGAGAAAGGGAAGAGCAAAGACGAGCGCTTAAAAAGAAGGATAGGCAGGGTCAGACCCTCAGATGTGCGAGGATTCTCCAACGATAGACGTGTACGTGTGCTGATCTTTGTAATTATAAATTGTGAATACATGTGACTAATATTATTTTCTTTTTTATTTTGTGCATGTTACAAGTTATAAATAAATATAAATAAACAACACTAACTCGATAACATTAAATCTAAGTACCAAAACGATTAATTTACTGTGTTTTTGTTATTTATTACTCCTGTTTTTAGGTATTCGGTATTCGGCCGAATAGTGAAAAATAGGCCGAATAGGCCGAATACCGAATACTAACCGAATATTCGTTACATCACTAATTATTATCATTATCATGAGTTTTTATCTTCCTATTCAAACTAGGGATTTTTTTTGGGAACTAAAATTATACCATATTTAAATTTGGTTCTTTCAAAGATATTTTGTTCGTAAGGAATTTTAAAAAATTTATGAGTGACGTTGTTGCTTTCATGTTTGTGTTTATTAGTTTTTTATTTGATCCAGTTGTTGATTATGCGTTTGCTGTAACCATTCATTAAAAACATTTTTGTTACATCTTGTATTTCAGTTGTTCTATCAGTTTCATTAGCGGTACGTTGTATGATTTTGTCAATGTACATGTAAAAAATGTTTTTCTTGATGTAACTGAGTACTTCAGAAGTGTAATGCTTGACACTGTCTACAGTGCATGGTTTTTTTTGGCATTTTTTAAAAGTGGTTTTGTCCTTAAGTCTAGTGATAAGAATGTCTAAAAAAGGTAACTGGTTGTTATTTTTGGGTTCTAAATCAAATTTTATATTTGTGTCTATTTTATTAACAAGTTCTAGAATCTGGTCTGCATGTATAATATTATCGTAAACTATAAAGCAGTCATCCAGGTAGCGTTGTAGAACTATAATGCCCGTAATCTTGGCAACTTTCTTATTAATGTTGGACATGCTAGTTCAGCTATTACCGAACCCATCGGGATGCCATCATTTTGCTTATAGAATATATCATTGATTGGGGTGATTGATTGCTGACAATAAGTGATTGATTGCTGGGATGGGGTAGGCGATGGGCCACAGTACTTTATTAAGTGCAATTTTATAATCCCCATAGATGCGTACCAAACCATCTGGCTTCAAAATCGACACAATAGATGTAGCCCACTCATGATCTGTTATTGGCTCTAAAATTCCGTTTGATCTGTTTTTCAAGTTCGTCGTCAACGTTTTGATGAATTCCCATAGTACGCGCCTTGCCTTTAATCTGATGGGCTACATTCGAATCTAATTTAATTGCTATTGATTGATCTTTATAAGTTCCTAACTCTTCTTTGAATACACTCAGAAATTCTTCCATCAACTCCTGGATTCGATTTCGGGAAATACGATATACGCCTGAGATACACATTCCTAACTCTTTAAACCAGTTTCTTCCTAGCAAACTTATGTTGTTTCCCCTCGCCGAAATTTGTGGAAGTTCTTGGATGCAATTATATGTGACCTGGTGCAGAAAGAGTATAACTTTGGGGAACTGCTATAAAAATCTTGTTAAACGTGTCTTCTGACAAGATAGTGTACGGATCCCGAATCTACTTGGAACCGACTACTCTTTCCGTTAATTTTGATTAATACTATGATTCTTCGGTCGACAAAAGATTAGCTACTTGATTTACGTGGACCACTGATTTGGCTACTTTTTCCGATTGAAACGAAATGGAAAAAGAACGTTTTTCTGAACGGCATACTTTCCCGAATGTGGCCCGGTTTTTCATAAAAGAAGCATTTGTTCTTTCCGTACGGTCATTCTTTGCGATTATGTTTCCCTCCGCAGCCTTTACAGACTTTTGCTGACTCAGAGAAGCTTGGTTGTCCTTTGCTCTTAAAATTGATCCTATTATATTCCTGACGTGTTCTCGAGTGTCTGTTGCCTGATTCCCCTTTGTTCTTGATTAGACTTACTTCCGCTTCAACGCCCAAATAGCGGCTTCAGCCGCTAAGGCCTCTTCCTGTGCCTCTAAAAACGACTGGGTTTTTACGAGCGAAAAGGCGAGACGTTGCAGCGTTTTGTGCGACAGTCCACAAACTAATCTATCACATAACATTTCCACTAACGTAAGTGAGGACCGAATTCGCAAAATTCTGCGAATCTGCGCAACTCCGCAATATAGACAGGCAAAGATTCTCCCATCTTTTGATCACGTCTATATAATTCATTCCTGCGAACAACTCGTGAATGTTGAGGGACGAAATGTGACCTCAAAAAGTCCTTCAGTTCTTCAAAGAATTTTGTGGCTGGCAAGTTGGGAGACAAAAAGACTTCAACAGGTTGTACGTTTCTTGTCCGCATGCTGTCAGCAGAATACCTTTCTTCGTCTTCTATATTATTAGCAGTTAGATAGGCTTTTTTAACTTTTTACGCCCTGAGGGCACTAAGAGGACCTAGGAACTATTTGTATTTAAGGCTATGTACTCACCAAGTTTCATTTGAATTGGAGACACAAATGTCTGACCATCTCCTTGTGTAAAGGAGTCAATGTCCGACCGTTATTTTATGTTTTGAGCGTTATTTTTATTTATTTATTTTCTTTTCGGGGTTCTTTTTATTTAAGGACAAACTCCTAAGCACATGTGACAAAGTTAAAAAGACAGACTTAGTTTGCATCAGTGACTGATCCTGTAACGCAAAATCATGTAAATTAGGACAGTGCGGCGCTGCACTGAACATTGGATAAAAGAAGGCACATCCAATACAGCCGAGCGAGGTATCTCCTGGTGACGAAGGATGTAGACATGTCTGTGAGCAACGATTAGAGTAAGCTGTATATTTTGGTATATGTCTCTTTTTGAGGTGGAGATGACATTTTGGATTTGATATAATATGTACAATTTTCTTTGATTGTTGATTCTTGTCGCTACTTTGTAGATTGGTCGAATTGGTTAACTATTGGTACAATTAACCAATTATTTTTTCTTATTTCAATATAATAAAAACTTATGTNAGGGTGGCCGAAATTTTTCTCCGCCCCGGGCGGCTAACACCCATGGTACGCCACTGCGCATCTGAACTCGTCTATCAAAAAATTGGCGCATGGTATGCAAAAGGTTGGCCACCCCTGCCTTAACCTGTCTTTCAAAAATATTTCATCCCTCTTATAGTAAGATAACAGATATAAGGCTACCATCAATTATCTTTATACAAAACAGATATAGTTGATAAGCCATGATTCACATAAAAAGCAAAGGGTAACTTAATGTAAACTCATGTTTACATTATTGATTTGTACAATTTTAAGAAATTAACAATCCACTAATAATTAATTTACTGTAACAGCTTTATAAACAAAACAAATACTTCATACAAAACATCAAATAAAAAGATCATCATTTAGTTTTCACTTCAAATAAGAAGCAAACATTTAATTAAATACATTAAAAACTACTTATTTCAATAGGTTAGATACACAATTAACATATTTAAAATTATTTCTTCTATCAAATACAGTGAATGCCTGGTCACCCTATTAATAATAATAGGGTGACCGGGAATCACTATTAATAAAGTTATTGCCTGAATTATGGGGACTATACTTGTTTTAATATTGGTTACAGAAAAAAATTCTTGAATGAAACAATTTTATTAGCATATCAATTTACAGATCAATAAATAAATCTATTTTTTAAAAATAACTTAAGTTCAATCAGTTTTAAATCCCACAAAACCACACAAAAGAACTGGATAACAATGCAGAAACAAAAAATCAAACCTCCAACTAAAAATTGTCAAATTAATGAACGAACAAATGATAGCTTTGAACCATCATCCTGGGGTTACATAATTATAGAGTTTGAAAAACAATGTTTGAATTTTATGTTCTTTTTACAAACTCTACATGTAATCTGAGGGTGATCACCCTCAGATTTGTTTGTTTATTCATTCATTTTATGTGACTTTTAGCAGGCGTTTTGGTTTTTAATCATGTTTCTGTATTTTTATTTATTCCAAAATCTCTCTCCAATCGGATTGTAAACGATACATTCAGCCTATTATTAAACTATACACATAATTAATGTATTTTGACGTAAACATTCAACTAGCTACATAGAACGATAATTATATTTAGTCTCAATTTGACATTATTCGAGTTTTGTGCAACAATAAAGCCAAATAATGATAAAAGCCAACCAAATTCCTTTCCATTTTCAAAAAAGATATGTCCAAACCAATATTTTTATTACATAAATTCTGATTTTTAGCAAAAATTCCTAAATAACTCTGCATGTATTAAATCATTTACATGTGTATATATAGATAAACTTAATTATAAATCACATTTATATCATATCAAAGGCATTATCTTTATGTAAATGTTTATAAAAGTCGATTAATTAATACAAAAATACGTTGTAATTAAGTTATGCTTTTGTTAAAATTTCAAATTTCTTTTTTTAAAAACAACATTCTATTTTCGAATTTCAATCAGTTCATCATACTACAATCGACCTAAACTGTAAATACGAATACAATTACTACAGTAAACAAGATAGGTCAATTTTCGTCATTTAAGTAATTTTAACCAATGAAATAATCTTTAACAATCTGATGTGAACTTCAGGTTACTTCCAATACAAAAAAAAAACTATAGGCGTATGAGTTGGGTTAGGTTATATGCGATATTTGCCGTTTAAGCGTTACGATTTTGCATGAATTGATTAAGAAGAGTTAATATTACACTTACTTAAATTTTAATCATGAAAAATTTATGAAATTTATAAGGAAGCACGTTTAATACCACTTCTTTAAAGTGCGTCAGATACACTTCTGCTCATATTCCAATTTCACACAATGCGACACCTGCCGTTTTTAATTGTTTATCAGAAATTTAGAATTTTTAAATAGTTTTCTTTACTAAATATTAATATAGACGTGATTGCAGTTAAACAAATTCCGATGGTGATTAAAATTTTTTAATTATTATAAGATGCCGCGAATCTTACTGAATACAAGGCCAAAGAAGAAAATGCCCGCATTTCTCACCTTATATATCGGGCAACAATGCCCTCTGGCGCTGCGCTTGAAGCGCCCTTTACAAGCCGTGGTGAGACACGACACGACAACTCCTTCCCTCCTAGAAAGTTACATAATCATTCCAATATTTTGGGGATTGTCTTATCCGTGTCTGACGTTCCTCTCTGGGATTGCTGGTAGATGCATCCAAACTTTGATCCGCCTCGTCCGAAACTGGCTCTTCCACGTCCGATTTGTCGTTGGAAGGAAACTCTTCGTTTGTCGGTTCGGCTGTAGTCTCCTTATCGAATTTGGTCTGTATGCCACTTAATTATCTAACCATCTTCTGTGCAGGCCGAATAAGTGACGTTTCCTCTCACATCAGTGATGTCAGCTGGGATCCAGTGCTCGACGGAATTGAAGTTTCGAACATGTTTTATGTGGTTTGCTTTCGTTTACACGCCCTTCGTGACGCATTTAAGACGCGAGACAAGAATACACTTACTCTGAATGCTTTATTCGAGGCCCTATCTGGACCGAGCGATCTCCGCTCTTATACATTAGTTAGGGTTTTTTCCCCTACTCTTTCCGTCCAGTGGGCACTGAGAAGGTCCCATATAGCAGGCCCATTATGGGTTCGGCCAGGCCCACAATGGGGCTGCCGGGTGGTGAGGGACGGGGCCCGACATATCCGAACGGACCACCCCCGAAAAATACCTGGGGATTCCTTGACCTGTCCGGATTCGATCCCGGGTCCCCCAGAGCGGTAGGCTGCCGACCGCTAGGCCATGCGGCCATCATTAGTTAGGGTCGTCTGTCTTGCACGTCCCTCTCTCTCTCTGTGTTGCCAGATCTTCCCGTAACAGAACATAAACTGGATTGCCGACTTGGAAAGCTCGGTTTGGAGATTTCATTTCTAGTTTCTCATTGTTTCCTTCTTTCGAAGCTGAGGGATGGCAATTGTCTATGCAAGTTTGCAACTTCCGCTCCAACAGCAGTTCGGCCGGACTCACTCCCATTGCCGACGACGGGGTCACATGCTGCGATATTAGCATTCTCGCTCACTTCAATCCTTTCATTTTCTTCAGAATCTGCTTTGTAAATTGCACCATCCTCTCCGCTTGTCCGTTAGACGATGGATGGAAGGGTGCCATAGTGATATGTTGAATACCGTTGTTATTAAGAAATTTGCAAAACTCCTCTGACGTAGAGGCAGTGCCATTGTCTGACACGATCACTGTTCCGTGCGTAGCGAACAGTTTCCGCAACATAATAATCACTCCACTTGCAGATGGCGACGGAAATATATCCACTTCCAACCACTTGGATCTGGCATCCACCAGATGAAAAATATTTTGCCCTGAAAGGGGCCGACAAAATCTATGTGGAGCATATTCCACGGAGCTTCCTCCGGTTCCTAAGAGGATGTTGTTTTGGGAGGATAATGTTGGACTGCTTGACAGCTCGCACATGACCTAACTAATTTCTCAATGTCGCTATCCAGATCCAGACCTGGCTATCAGATTTAACTCCTGGCCAGTGCCTTCATCTTAACAATACCCGGGTGTGCGACGTTGAGACATTGAGTGTTGAACATAAGATTGTGTTATTAATTAAACACTTGGCTTTTTTCCATCTTTATTCAGTTGATACGGTACTTCTACACGTTTCGGGCACTTAGCCCCTCATCAGTCAACATTAAACACGCAATGTATGCAATGACACTTATACACCACAAGTTCTCATTCTCCCAACTAGAAGGATAAATTGACTGCATCAACGTTATAAAATCTACGTACATAGTTAAATAGACGCAATGTATTTTCCATCTTCTTATCAAAATTGATGAATATACTGGACTGACTTCTTTCAAACTTCTACTTTCTGACAGGAGATTATTCCATTAGAGCAGCTGTCCCCAACCTTTTTATCACCGCGGACCGGTCAAAGTTTGATCATTTTACCGAGGCCCACTGAGGGGGGGGGCGTTGATTGTTTATATTTTAGATTGATTTAATTTAATAATTTTAATTTAATTGTATTTAAGCATGCCTTCAAAATAAAATACAGTTACACCAAAAAATGAATATAATGTGATTTAACATTTTAACTCACTAGAACGCTAAATCAATGAGAACCCTGAGCTTGTTTCATTGCAACGAGACGGTTCCCTCTGGGGGTAATAGGAGACAATGACACCCGAAGTGTGTTTCTTATGTCCAGTTTATTCTGTTGTTCCGTCGTCCATTAAAAGTCGCACAAACCCGAGGAAATACACCATAGTAAATAAAATGAAAATAATTTAATGTTCCTTGGGCGGCCCGGTACCGTTTGATCCACGGACCGGTACCGGTCTGAGGCCCGGGGGGTTGGGGACCACTGCATTAGAGCATCCGGGATGAGATGATGCTTGGCATCGGCCTGGATAACGACAGTAAGGCAAGAAGACGTTTCTGATTGGTCTATATCTTCACTTGCCATCCTTAGACATAGTGATGAAATTTCTTAACTCCCGCCACAATTGCCAAGGTTTTCTGTCTATCTGTGCGTAATTGCGCTCAGTTGCTGATAGCATGCGTGAATAGTATACAATGGGTGACTCACTTCCGTTTGGCATACAGCGGTTAAGGATTAAGGACAGTACCGATAACGTAAGATGAAGCATCATACGTCAGCACTAATGGTTTTTGTGAGTCAAAGGGCATTAATACGGCGTCCGATGTCAACAATGATTTAACGACCTTAATTTAAACGCCTTTTCGTGTTTTGGCTCCCACTTCCACGGTGTATTCGCATCCAGAAGACGATGCAAAGAAAACATGATAAAAATTTATCAATCCCAGAAAACCTTAAAACCTTTTTTTGTTATCAATTTTACGAACTCTATGACGGCCTTTCTTTTCCGCTAAACGTATTACACCATCAATTAGAAACAGGACAATCTTTACAAAATCACATTTTTATTTCCTAGAGTATGCATTTCGGACTTCGAGTCCCTTTTCAACTCTTTGTGATGTAACTGTTTAGGAAATAATGCATACAAGTTAATTAACATAAAATTTTTATGCACTGTTAAAAATTTTTGACTTACATTGTTATGAGAAACACAGATATGGTGACGATTGATAACATACGGATGATAATTATTAATTTACAGGTGTTTGCTATAATATAGTTAGAATGTTAATGATTTACAAGAACAATATATATAACAAGGTATAAAAATTGTGAACTTAAAGTAGATATGACGGTACGATATACTGTATAAAGTACTACTGTGTTTCCCCGAAAATAAGACAGTGTCTTATATTAATTTTTGCTCTGAAAAATGCGCTAGGTCTTATTTTCAGGGAATGTCTTATTTTTTTCAAGAAGAAGAATTCACATTTATTATTGAACAAAAAAATTCCCAAGTCGAACGTAGACGAGAGTGACATATACCCGGTGTGTCGAACTGTTGCCTTTTTACAGCGTCAACATCGGACTCGATGACCAATTAGTGCTTACTGAACCGTAGCACTATGCAAATGTCATGTGGCGTGATTCCCGGCCGACCAATTAGCCATCACCAGCCGTAACGTTATGCAAATCTGTGATTCCCAAGCCATAGTCTTATGCAAATCATGCCG